TTCATTCAGGTTGAAGAAATTTTTTTGGCTTCTTGAGGACATGAATCAGCATCACAAGTTTTCTTCCCTGGGCACTAAAAAGCCTCAAATATTAAAAATATCCTGTAAACTTAATAGGAACAAATGAGGGAGAAAATATATGATGGGGAAGATCTGGCTTGACAGTAATAAATGTGAAAAAGATAGATTACCAGTTGTCTTGCAGCTGTTAAAAATCTAATACTATTTGAAGATGCCTTAATAGGAGTATGGAGATCAGAATATGGGAAATAATCGTCCCACTCTAAGTCAGACCCCATTTAAAATACTGCATCCAGTTCAGGTCGCTTTGGTCACAAACTTGGAATGAATTCATGAAGTCTTCTAAATAATCTGCCATTTTAATCTGTTTGATTTCCATTGTATCCATCAAAGCTATAATACTTCAGTTTATATGCATTTATATTTTACAAGTATGCATGTAAATTGCAAATAATAAGCTGGATAAATAGTATAACGATTGGCACAGTAACTTACACGTTCTCCTTTGGGGCCTCTATCACCAGGTTTACCCATTCCACCCTACAAAAAATGGAAAGTATTGCTAAATATATATATTCTTGCTGACAAAGGCCAAAAGCGCAATTATATTCTGCATACATAAATAGTTTTCTTACCTGAGCACCAGGCAATCCATCTTTCCCACTTAAGCCCTAAGGAAAAAGAAACATAATGATTTTCATATTACCAAAGGTCTGAATTTTGCTATCTATATCTTAAGACGGAACAGAACATAAGCATAAAGCCCTCAGAATGCAAAATGTCAACTGAAAAAGTGATTGAAGACAGTTGGCAGTTGCCCCCAAGTCTTACTCATTCAGGATCTTCAATCACATGACCACAAAGTGGTTCTACCTGGCTGTTGGACTTAGAGTAGCATTTAATGCCTGCAAATTATCAATAAAACTAACTTCTAAACTAATATAATAAAATTGCCCATTACTATATAGATACCTGGGTTAGAGTATGCACTTTTATTATTGTGAGGTCAATTTCCTTTACAGGTATGTTTAATTGCTGAGGAGGGTAAAGATAGTTTTATCACTTTTCCCTTGTAAGACAATGGAAAATCCCAGTAAATTTTAGCAGTTTCATTTTGGGGACCTGCAGAGGAGGAGTAAACAATAATTTTGGCCGGGTAGCTTTTCAGGGACTTAATAATAATAATTAATTAAAATGAATTGATCAGATTATGGCATAAATTGGTTATGGTGGTCCCAGGATTATCGACACACTGGATACTATACCAAAAAAATCTTGGATGGCATTTAAAAAAACTGCATTAACAAAATTTCTATTTGTCAATTGCAAAAGACCACGTTGCTTGGATCTGCACATATATTATGCTGATACATTACAACTTCTTAGATTCTTGGGAAGAACCTGATGCATCTAAAGACCAGCCCTAGTTAAAGAACTGGTAGCTGTGACTTCACATGATTGTGAACAAATAATAATAATATAACCATTCAATAATTGGCCATTAATTAATTAGCTGGAAGAAGAAAAAACAAATCCCTGTCTTGGGTCATACCAGAATCCCTTTTGAATTACTCACTGGTATTCCTGATGGCCCTTCTGGCCCTGGGAAGCCAACATCTCCAACAGGGCCTCTTTCACCCTAAAGGAAAAATAAAGAGTTTTTTATATTAACTGAAAGCAATCAGAATACTAATACTATTATGGGAGTGCTGAATCCTAAATGCTCTTACAGGTTCTCCGGGGATTCCTGGTGGCCCTGGAGTGCCATGCTTTCCCTGTGAAAATAAATACATAGAAAATCACCTTTAAAAATGAATTATTTAGTCTGCTCTGTAATTACAGCTGTTTTAATGTATATTAGATGACAGTATATTACACTGATATTGCCTGAGCAATGAATTCTTCCTCAGTTATAAAAGCTTTTGGTTCCATTCTTATATATACAAACTATACTAATGTAGACTACTCACCCTAAATTCAGTGACACTTACTTCTGAACAGTAAAGCATCTTTAAAAAAAAATTTTTTTTTAAATATCTTGAGATTGTTAAATCTTCTTAGGATATAAATTGATCCCAAAATACTTTTCAGATGGCATAAATTAAGTGGAGTTTTAGTTATAAAAATATATCATAAAAAGAAGAGTCATAGCTTAAGTGCTGCATGTGTTAGTCCTTCAACCCCAAAATTTGCTCCCCAAAATGGAGCAAAATTGTCACATTACTGTTTTCTATTCCCCCACACTTAAATCAAAGTGAGAATCAGAGCAGAAAACCCCTAGAAGGTGAATTGCTTCTATTCCTATGTTACATGTGTATAAGTTGGATGAAAATGTGAAAAGATTTTGGTATCACTCTTTCCAATGATATCACATTAATAGATGCCCCACCACCACCATAGACTCTCAACAAATCAGGAGGTTGATCTATAGCCCAGCTGAATGTACCCATTGCAGTAATACTATAAAATGGATTACAGATAGAACAAAGAAAAAAAAAATAGAGAAGATCAGATAGTCATTCATTCATTCATTCATTCATTCATTCATTCATTCATTCATTCATGCAATTCTTCCATGACAGATTTCTTAATTCTGAACGTAGGTGTGGACTTGTTTTTTCATTGTCTTGTTATTTGTTTTAATTTCTAGCATAAAATAAATAAGGAATATTTTTTCTTGATTTGCTAACCACAAAAAAATTTCCTCCAAAACTGTATGCTCAACACTTTCTAAATATGAATGGAGATCATTTGTAAAAAGAAAGTTAAGATTAGCTATTTGGGTATAGTTCCAAATTCTTTTGAAAATTCAGAATGAGATGGCAAGTAACATAGGAGGTATTTTATAGTAAGAAAAGAGCATATAAGAAAAGATTAATGATTAGGTATGACAATGTTGATTCTGAACATCCAGCAGAGTATTTGGTTACAATTTCCAACAGTTTGAACACATTGTTATACAATGCATGACTAGCAGACTTTACTCTTATTCTTTACTCCAGTTATTGTGATTACTATTCACTTCCACAAAATGGAAACTTACTTACAGGTATTCCTGGAACTCCTGGAGGTCCCACTGATCCCTGGTCACCCTAAAAAAGATATACTACATTGCAGTATTTCCAAAGTATATCTCTTTACTCAGGACATGACACTTTACCTTAAATTATCCCCAAAAATCTTCAAGGCATGAACTTTTTACATGTAGCCATATGTAAACTGTATGTATGTATGTCACAATTGTTTTGCCATATTCAACAGGAAAACAAAGAAATGAAGTTTTCTGAGTGGTGGACTACAAGTAATGGGAAGCCTGGAAAAACAGGGTAGTTTATAGCCAGGAATAATGACCGTGATTGTGATAATAGTAACATGAGAATATTCAAATTCTTTTATCATACAATTAATTCTGTTATAATCTCCGTTTTGTCATTTATTAACCTCACTGCATGGATAGGACATTCTCTTTTCCTAAATTTGTATTTCTACTACAATTAAGGCAATCTCAATTTCCTGCCAACTTGGTGCTTAAAGAACATAATAGAGAAGCCTATTGAAATGAAGTCAGTTGAATGTAATTTATTCCTGGAATATACCTATTAAGAGTCCACTATAGTAGTAATAGAACTTCTACTGTCCTGGCAACTCCTGCCAAATGCACTATAATTATATAATGTAGAGTATATAATACTCTAATAAACCAATATCTGATTTGTTTCTCACATTCATCTCATATACATATAGGCTTATAGCTACAGGCAAAATGACAAATGTGAATATTTATAGTACTTGATAGTACTTATCAGCTTTTGTAATCTGATATACTGATTTCTGAAAAGGATGCTCTGGAGGCACAAATACCCCTATGTATAATTCAAATAGACCACAATGAAGAATCTACCAATTACAATCTCAAGATGTCCAGAGGAGCAAGGTGGAATTTTATCACTAATATTAGGAAAAGACACAATAGCAGCTTCCATTCTTTTTTCTTTTGCCAGGGAAGGAAGCATTATAAATCAAAGCTATTTAATAGAAGGTAACAAGTTGCTCAATAACAAGTTGCTCAATAACAATCACAGACAATATAGAAAGATGATTTGCAAAGATTAGGAAAGCAAAGTTTATACAGGTTGAATCTGCATCTTGTAATAGAAGCAATCATATGCTTTGTCTTGGTATTTTGTACTGTATGATTTTAGCTATGGTGGTTTAGAAACCAAGGTTTATGGTTACTGTTTTATGAATCCAGCCAATGTTTTTCATAAAAACACGGTTAACTAAGCCATGACTTAATGCTATATGTAAAATCAAGTATAGTTTTTTCTTCCCACACCCTAAATTTTATCTGTCATGGAATTGGAATGGAATTGACAGTACATTCCATTTGGATTCACAGGCCATACCATAGTTGCCAGCCTGGTGCAAAGTAGTTTGCCCAAAAGAAATAGCAGTTAGCGTCCAAGAATCATCAGCCAATATTTTTGTTGTGCATAGCAACTTTTTCTTTTACCTTCAACTTATTCTGTGAAATTGCCCTAGCACAAACGGCAACATCTCATGTGCTTGGTGCTGTCATAAGACTAAGGTGATATCCATTTGCTTAAAATACTCAGTTTTGCTGCTGTTGTAAAATTTTAATTATTCTGTTCTAAATGGAGGCATTTCCTATATGATTTAAATATGTAAAAGAGAATTGGAAAAGAATGATAATTGTCAGTAGGTAAATGCAATCAATTTTCCACATTTATTTTGCGATTAAAATGCTACCTTTTCTCCTGGTAGTCCTTCTAAGCCTGGTAGTCCCATTGGGCCCGCTTCACCCTTGAAAAGAAACAAAAAGACAATAGTTTCTGATTTCAACACCCTCTAAGTAAATCAAGCCAGATGTATTTCATGAGCTGCTAAACACACTGCTTTCTTGGAAATGACAATTTTTGCCCTGCTGAGCATTTTAATGACTTGAAACTAAGATTCAGATTCAAGACTGTTTTCTGTGTGATGTCTGGCTATACAGTATTTAGGTTACACAGGAGCATAACTTGTGATTACATTCTCTTGCACAAATAAGAACTAATGGCCATTTTAGCTTCTTTTAAAAGAATCTGAGCCTAGTACTAAATTGTTTTCCATCATCACATCTGATAAAATTTAATTCCATAGTTCAACTATATGTGCATAAAGTGGTTCCTTTTATAAGGTCAGACTCTCTCTTTTAGCTTCATAAGTAAACCAAATGGTCAATGTTGGCTTCTAGTTTCGAAATTGGACAAAATGACTTCCACAAATCTCCTCTCCACTTGACATTATGTTCTCCATGGCCATTTGCTTTCTTTCCCTAACTGAGACTAACTATCCAGAGGGAGAGAAGAAGGTAAATGGAAACTAGAAATGGAAACTAATGACCAAACACATAAGGGCACATCTTACAAATAAGGACTCATTTTACCCATTACATACCACAGCTCCAGTCTCCCCCTTTGGGCCCTGTAAGAAAATAGTACATCATTTATTTATGAGACTGATACTCCATGAGACTGATCCAATGATTTTATGGCCTTTTATCAGAATCAAGAATCTTTCACTATCAAATGAATTAGCCTATAAAATATATTATTTGATGGTTTAGGAACCATCATTCCACAAATGTTCTGAGTTTAGGAAAAAATGGTATTTGAAAAATAATCTGGGGAATGCCTTTATTTTCCATGTACTATAATACTTTTATTCCTCAATATATGCAGTGAATTACTTTGCAAGAAATAGATCATTACAGCAGATTATTTGTTTGTTTGTTTGTTTATCATGTTTCTTAACTACCCATTTCCCTCAAGATAATTTATCATTTATCCACAAATAATAAATGAATTCATATTGATTCTTCTCTATGAATAAACTCATGCATCCACTGGGGTTAGGGTTGGGCAAGAATTCCTGCACATATATCTATTATTTTTAATAATGATCTTTGCATCTTTATAAAATAAAATGTTTTCTTTTGAAATAAATGATAACCAATTTTAAAAGCCCATTTTTAAATGGAAAGAATGAGGCTAATTGGTTTAGTGTAAGTCTTGAAATCTGAATTTTTTATTTTTGAGAGAACCACCCTTAATTCTCATTTCACTTTGGATCAATATTTGTTCTTTTTAGCAGCAATTGTAGAAATCTGGACAAATAGGTTCTTCAAATGGAATCAAGGTTCCAATCTTCTGATATAATTTTCTGTAATCATTTGGCACATTGATCTAAAATTCAAGGAGAAAATCTGACAGGACTTTTTTTTTAAAAGAAATGCCAGAAAAGATATCTATCAATTACTCCTTCTGGGTACTAATGAATCTGTTTAGCAATGAATAGGCTCCATCTCCAAGTAAAAAAATGTATATTGTAGCTGCATCTGAGAAATGATTGTTAAAATACAATCTCAGAGAAAACTTAAAATACAATTCTTTATATCTTATTGCTCTCAATACATTATTTTAAAATAGAAACATGTTTACCTTGGCATCTTACATTTAATACTTCTACAATTCAATTTTCCTAATAAATGACTTTAATATATTGAAGAATATTATATCAATTTGCAGTGAAATGTTGAGTGTTCAGTTTCACAAAAATATTAGTTAAATATCCTAGCAGCGATCCTTGAAATCACTGATAATAAACTTACATGCCTTTCCTCAGTTAAATATTGATAAAGTCAATTTTTCACTTCAAAAGCATGTGTCAAAATATTTCCCAAAGCAGCCACTCAAAGTAAACAGTAAAAAACCCAAATCTTGAGAATAATATTGTCTTGACAGGCCTGGCCTTTATATAGATCATAATATTTATTATTCTTTGTAGAAACCTCTCCAGTGCTGTACTCAACTATTCTTATCAAATGCTTGCTTATGAAACATTACTCATTCCTATGATTTCTTTCTTTTGAAATAAATCCTCATTTATTTTACTGTCATCAACAAATCTAAACTATAGAATACTTTATTGGCCAAGTGTGATTGGACACACAACGAATTTGTCTTGATGTAAATACTCTCAGTAAATTACTAAAAAAGCATTTTTACTGCTATCCATTATCTGATCTATCTGAATGAAAAATTCTGTGTTTATCTTTTCAATTAATTAATCTCATATATATGTAATTTGTTGGAAAACTGTCATTAAAGAGATACTTGGAAACTGTTTCCAATAATCTCATTATGTATCAGAAAATTACATCAACTATAATTGTGTCAATTTTTTACAGGTTGATAAGAAACAAGAGGTGATTCTAGAGGGATATTTTTCACCAATTCCAATTCAAATTTTCATTTCATTCCTTTTTTTTGAGTGAAAAAGTTCTGGGGATTTGTTAGGTAAGTTATCACAACTTCTTTTCAGAAGTTATTTTATTTGTTATGGTTTTTATTTTTAATTGGCAGCTTTTTCTGACAAATAATATATTAAAGATTTCCTTCTCCAGAAGCTCTTGGGAAACCAAAAGATGCTTAACTTCCACTATACTTTTTGATCTAGACTTATTTTTGTCAATACTGTAGCATTTCGGTTACCCTTTTCCATTTTTTGTCAAAAGTCTAAAGTCTTTAGCTGAGGATAGACCAGATCCTGGCTCTCCCAGTGTGAATTCAACATCTTGAACACAAAACTACATTGGACTTATACAGGCAAAGTGGGAGGCCTGCACATACAGTATCAGAATGCTGTCATAGAATCAGGACAACTGCAACCCAGTGAAGTTCATTGTGTAGGACTGTACTATGTAGTAATATGCTATTTTAAAAATAAAATTATAATCTTCATGTTTAAACTCTTTTGAATTTTTTAAAAGTAATTGAACTTGGTTTTTATTTCTAATTGTAAACTGCATGGACCAAGATTATGATACTCATTGGACTTGACAGGCTTACCATCTCTACCTATGCTGATTTATTATTTGATTTTTTCAACCATTTTTTTCTTCCATGGAAAAAAGCCAAAAATCATAATTTTTAAAAATGTATAATGTCACATTGAAAAATACTTTGAAAGACATCAAAATGAAGTGGAATCTAGGTGCTAGTTAATATTACTACTATGCAAAATGCTGTTTTTCTTGTTATCAGTCCTGTTTCTGGATGGAAACAAGAAAGTATTGCAATCTTTGGATGTATATTCATATATAATAAATATCAAACTATAATAATGCCATACTTACAGGAGGTCCAGGGGGACCAGCATAACTAGAACTTCCCTGCAAGGGAAAAAAAGACTTCACATTAAATTAAATTTTAAATCTTGTAAAATGACTTATAGTTAGTTTAGTGCCATTGGCCTTACTTTTTTAAATTGATCTTTTGTGGAGTAAGAGTATTTTGTGTTTTATGTTATGGAATACTATATGTTTCAGATGTAAAAGATGTGGATAGTTCTTAGAAGATCTGCATTGATTTTTTAAAAATGTAAACTATTAAAACTTTTCCATTTTGCTATTTTTAATCAATAAAAACAGGATATACATTCAACAAGAAAAAAATGTTTTCCATGCTATGAAATACCTGTAGTTTATATAAGCTGCTCATGCCACTACTTTCACTATATGACATACCCTGAAGAAAAAGTAAAAAGAATATATTAATGAGAAACCTTAAAACTCAGAATAAGTCCTGATACCTTCTAAGATATCAGCACTACATATTCTGAGACAACAATATGAAAACAGAAATTCTCCTAAACCAAAAAGCAGGTTTGGGAAAATTCTGGATCTCCAGGATCAACCTATAGGTTCCCTCCTGTTCCTAAGCCATCTTACTCCAATTTTCTAGCTTTCTCCAGGGCAGGGTAAACTATGAGGCAGAATGACTCTGGCTTGCACTTAGATGGCCTTCCATTTGACCATGCAAAAAGCAAAGTCTTGAAGGAGTTGTACAGATTGACATTTCCACCTCCAAAGCCTTTTTTTCTATGCAGTAAATGATTGGAGAATATAATCCAAATATTTTCAAGGACTATCACTGAATAATATTTCTCCATTTGTTGCTGCATAAAAAAGGTCTCCATGAAGAATGAGACGGGAGAACTTCCCTGCTTTGATTCCATGGACTATCTTTCTCCAGGAAGATATTGTTTCTGCTTACAGAAACAGATCATGTTAAGACCAGGCATTTCTCTAGGAATAAAGGGACTGATAACATTTGACCTATTGAAGCTGTTAGGAAATTAATTCTAGCCCCAGAGTAGATTCAGTTTTTCCTTGATACAGACCTTTCCTGTTGATATATTACCCTAACTTTGGGAATATATTCCACTAAAATCATACTATGAAATATTTTAGGACTTCAGCCACTTGTAAGAGAATTCAAATTACTTACAGGTGGTCCAGGCTTCCCAGGAGCACCCTCATTTCCCTAAACCAAAAAAAGAATAACACTCTGAAAAGACCTGTTCCACAGAGACCAGTAAGATTTTATAGAATATACACAGATAATACTTGCATTTAAAATGTGTAGTACAAAGTAAACAATATTTAGAATTGTTAGAGCTCTTTCACATAAAATGTTTTTGAATGCTACCTCTTATCTCAGTGGCAATTCAAAAAGTTCTCTGCACTTCAGTTTAATGATTAAGAAATATTCTAATCTAACCATGGGGACAATTACCATGCAAATTAAAAACTTAATTCTATTCTTTTACTTGCATTTTAAAAAATATATTCAGAAGAAAAAGACCAAATCAACATTCTTTATGTGAGTGCTGTAATATACTATCAGTAACTACGGTACTTCACTGTAGGATACAGAATTTGGCAGATAGATTACTAAAGTTAATAAAGTTGAAAAAAATGGAGATATTTTATTGAAGATAAAAATATTTTTTCTAAATAACTGCCACCAGTTCCCTGTGACAAATTGTCTCCACAATGCTAAAAACTTTATGACAAATTGTCTCTGCAATATATAAATTCAGCATATAAAAATGAAAAGAAAGTGCATTGCTCTATTTTAAAAGATGGCATTGATAGTGATTAATCTGTACTATGAAACAAATTGTTGTAGCAGAAGGCATTCATTCTCAAATGAAGAACATTAAACCACAGGTGGGTTATGAGAGTCTCGAGAATGCTGTTGACATTGAAAATCTCGGAACACTTCAAACTTAAGGTTTTTTTTTAATGAACTCATCTATTCTTAGTACATTTCAAAGAAATTATTTAAACAGGTTTAAAAAGTTAGTTTTGGGGTTTACATGTTGATAAATGACCATATTGTGAGTCATAAACTTTCAGCAAAAGGATGAGATCAGAAGTACTACAATTTCTGCTATCAGGAACAATCAATGTTTGAGCCCATATTTATTGAGGGTCAAGTGCAAAGAACTTTTGGAATTACCACTGAGATAAGAAATAGCATTTTAAAATATTTCTATGTGAAAACGCTCTAACAAATTTAGTTATTACTTTCTTTGTATAGCTATGCAAACTATGTAAAACCACAAATCCATCTTCGAATTTCTATAAAATGAAAGATTCAATCTCAATAATGTTAAAGGGTGTACCTGGAATTAATTTATTTAACTAAGAAGAAATTAAGTAGAAACAACAAAAATGCTTTTAGAGGGGTATGTGTGTACTGTGAAGAGTAGCAGACCTTCTCGCCTTTTGTTCCTGGTGAACCAGGATGTCCAGATCTTCCTATTGTGCCCTGTAAAACAAAGAAATTACACAAAACAAAAGAATTTAATGTCATAACATTTAGAGTTTGAAAGCTGTGCTTTTGGAAAGTAATCTTAAAGAAATGATTTTGTGCAATTATTTATTTAAACATGTATTTTATTTCATCTGACATATCAGATATAAACCAAAACCAACAATGTAGAGTGTACCTTTTGCAGATAATGCATTTCATACAACTCATCTCAGTGTAAGACTGACAATTCTACTAAAAGAGAATTAGGGATATGACCACCATTTTATTGCAATTACTGCAAAGTTTACAAGCAATATTTTCTTTCAAGTTATTGCATTATTTGTTTAAATTCCAATACCGTTAACATGTTTAGGAATCATGAGATGTTCTTTTTATATTACAAAATAACATGGAAATCCCTTGCTCATATCTTCTTTTGAGATGTTATTAAAACTGTTACAGCCATTCTACATTCCTACTGATCCCCACTGAAGTACCAACCAGATCTGACCCTGCTTAGCAAGGAACCAACTAAGATATTTCCTTTTTCTGTAACCTATCAAGTACAATTATTTTCACTCAATTTAGCAAATCATCTTTCAAGTCATATTGAGAAGAACATTGAGCAGCAGCTGTCAAGTTGTTAGGCTGCAAGATTTCACTGGCAAATATAAAATCAAATACTTACAGAAGGTCCTGGTGGTCCTACCACACCAGGTAGCCCTGGAATTCCTTGAAGGCCCTGAAATAAATCAAAATATGAGAATGGGAATATGTGAACTATGCTTGGGTGTCTGTGATATTTGTTTAAATCATTGCCAACAATCTTTACCTAAATATATAGAAAATGCAGTTATATAGCAGTAAATATTTTCTATACACAATTAGTTTGGATGAATCAAACATTATACTAATTGGTAAGAAGGTTCCTAAACACATAGGGAAAAAAGCAGGTACTAATTCAAGTCTACAATAAAACTGAATATACAATAAAAGAGAATATTGAAGAAACATTAAAAAATCTGGAAATAGAACATGTTTCTTGATACCATACTTTAATTCTCCCTTTCGGCCTGGGAAAAGAATCCATTTCTAGTACATGTATACTCTCAAAATTTTCCTGTGAGGTTTATTCAAAGATCAGTGGAACCAGAAACATTTTCAGATTGACTTAAAGTACAACCCTGCTTTGCTGATTTTGAAACTATATTTTGTTCAGATACAATCTGCTGTCCTGGATAAAGGATTAATTTAGCCTCTGGCTGTGTGATAGAATGTGAGAATCACTCAAGAGTGCTAGATTGCCTAAGAAGCTTATCATCTGTGTAGCAGTGTGACTCTTGCTCAGAAACCAAATGTGTCCGGGTGGCACCCTACCGATCTAATAAAAAGATTTGCATTCACTCTGGAGTCTCTTAAAAATCTAATTGCCAATTATAAACCAGCCCTTTTATTTGGCTTTGCCTTTTGCTCTTTACTCTGAAGAGTAAAGTATTGTTAAGAATCGCTTGACGTCAGGTGTCTGGATTTTTTTTGCTATTGCAGTTTCTTTGATTGCATTGTAAAGGAACCCCATAAGGATACTGTGAAACACCCAAATATATAAATATAATTGCTTGCCTGCGGTGAATTTGAAATAATTCTTCCTATTTTATTGAACAGGTTTCTGCTATATTGGTGCTATATTACATAATGCCATTATTGCTATATATTTTTTAATCTTTGCTAATGGACATTGGAGCATAAGGCATTCATAGTTGTATACAGATGAAACTGTATTTAAGCCTCTGCTCACTTTTTTTATTAAAATCGATTAAATATGGTGTTTTCCCCAAAGCAAATTTATTCTGATAAGCTAGTTGTCAAGGTATATATGATTAGCCCTTGTATGAGGACCCAGATTATTGGGGGCAATATGCTGACCCTGTAAATAGCTTAGCGAGGGCTGTAAAGCACTGTGAAGCGGTATATAAGTCTAAGTGCTATTGCTATAGCTGTTCAGCTACCAAGTGGAGACATGGCCAATTACACAATGTTGCAAAATCCACTATTCTCCTTTATAGAGAGAGGAGAAACAGGTAGCAAACAGAATGAGGTAGGGGAAAAAAGAGGAAGAAAGGGGGAAAAAAGGGAGAGAATGAAATGAAGAAAAAGACAGGCTGATGGACTAAAGGCAGGAAAAAAATGGAAAGTGTTACAAACTAAATAAACTCATTCATCAAAAACTATACTAGCTTACTTCAGCAGCAGGCTTGTAAGCCTGCACTTCTGATTGGCCCGTGGATAAGCGAATCGTGATTGGCCGATTCTGGCTGACCTGATTGGCTGACAATGGGCTGTCGCCGATTGGACGCTTTTAGAGCGGTTACTTCAAAGTCATTGGTTGTTGTGACAGCAGCTAGCTCTATAAAAGAGCTGCTGCTGCCCTTGTTGTTGCTCTGTTCTGAAGTCACTATTAAAGAGTTGAATTGAGTCACTATCGATGCCTCGTCTCCGTTATTGCGCCCACTCCTCCAGATCCAACACTGGCGACGAGGGTGGGATGCGGAGACGATAGAGCTGACTGAGCACTCGCTGAGTACCAAACAGAGCACGTGGTTAAGAGCGCGCCAACAACGGCAAGATGGCCAGCGGCGCCATACCACCCGCTCCATTTGACCCAGCTAACGAAGACTGGGACTCGTATATAGACAGGTTCCAGATGTTCCTGGAGACCAACAATCTGAAAGACGCTGCGCCTGGCAAGAAACGAGCGATCTTCCTGACCCATTGCGGGCCTGCCGTTTTTAAAATGGCTAAGGCACTTGCTAAACCAGCAGAAGTTAAAACAATGGATTGGGATATCCTCGCACCGATCCTCCGAGCTCATTATGCACCTGCGGTACCAATGCTTATCCGAAGGCACGAATTTTACCAGAGGGACCAACGGAAAAACGAGAGCGTTGGGGACTTCATCGCGGACCTCCGGAACCTGGGAGGCCTCTGTGGTTTCGCAAACCTCGAGGAAGCCATGAGAGACCGCATAGTTCTGGGATTAGATGACCACACTGCGCAGAGCAAGATCATGGCTAAAGGGGACATCGACCTCGCAGATGTCATCGCCGATGCTACTGCAGCAGAAGCAACCAGGAAGTCGGCCGCTCAAATGCGCCGCACCAACGCACCGCTCCGCCAACTCGCCAGTGACACTATGCCTTTTTCCGAGAGGCACTCAACAACGGCTCACCATGAAGACCTCGAATCCTCGTCTGATGGTGAGGAAGAAGAGGTCAACCGACACAGGTCAGAGCACGACCAACGAGACCTGAAGAGCCAGAAACCTGCACGTCAATGTGCCGGTTGCGGGGCCAATCACCCGCGATCGGACTGCAAATTCCTCGACGCACTCTGCCGTTCCTGTGGAAAGAGGGGCCACATCGCAAAGGTTTGCAGAAGCAAGTGAGCGTCAAGCCCAATCCGAAGAACGGGCAGCCCACCTGTAAATCAGGACCGTCTGAATCACCAATGGAACCACTATCACTACAGAAATCGAGCGCCTGCTGCATCAGCTAGGCGAGAAGAGGCGCATCAAACCATTACCATTGGTCACGCATCACCCTTGGATGCAAGAAAGATCCGAGTGAAGGTCGCCATTGAGAATCGTCCATGCGTAATGGAAGTAGACTCGGGGTCGTCACTATCAATGGTCTCATGGAAAACCTTCAAGCAGCTGATCCCTGACATCCGTCGCCAGGACCTCAGCATCCAAAAAATCATATTACGGGACTACCAGGGAAACAGGATTCCCGTTGCCGGTTCCCGCCACGTCCAGGTGTCCTTCAGGGACCACACCGCAACTCTGCCTATTACCATCGTCGATCGAGACCGACCCAGCTTGTTGGGGTTACAGTGGTTCGCTCCACTGGGAATTGAACTAGCTGGCATTCACCAGACCGGGAACAGCGATTGGGAAGCGGCCCTCATCCAGGAATTCCAGGACGTGTTCACTGAGAAGCTAGGCAAGTACAAGGGATCCCCCATATCTTTTAGCCTCAACCCCGATGGATCGATAAGAATTTGTGGGGATTACCGGGCCACCCTAAATCACGCGCTTCAGCAGAGTGCTTACCCGGTACCTGTGGTCCAACATCTTCTTCACTCCCTGGGTGGCGGAAAAATATTTGCAAAATTGGACCTCGCCCAGGCATACCAGCAACTACCCGTAGATGCAGAAACCGCTGAGGCCCAGACTATAGTCACGCACAGAGGTGCGTTTAAATGTAATAGACTCCAGTTCGGAGTGAGTGTAGCACCAGGCATTTTTCCAAAGCCTGATGGAGAGACTGCTACAAGGCAGTCTCGTGCCTTATTTCGATGACGTATTGATAGCTGCCCCCACTAAAGACGTATTAGAGAAACGACTCAGAACGGTTCTTCAGAAATTCAAAAACGCCGGTTTGAAAGTAAAAAAAGACAAGTGTCAACTTTGTACGGAGAGGGTTGAATTCCTGGGGTACCTTCTTGACAAAAAGGGAATCCATCCCACTGAGAAAAAAGTAACGGCAATAAAAAACGCCCCAAGACCCAGGAATAAAACAGACCTCCAAGCCTTCCTAGGACTCATTAACTTTTATAACATCTTCTTGCCCCAAAAGGCGACTGTAGCTGAGCCCCTACATAGACTACTCGACAAGAAGGCTTCCTGGGTCTGGGGACATCGGGAAGAACAAGCATTCCAGCAAGTAAAAGATCTCTTAACCTCAGACGCTGTATTAATGCAGTATAACGAGACTTTGCCTTTAGCGGTCACCTGCGACGCTTCACCATTTGGGGTAGGAGCCATCTTGAGTCATGTCCTACCAAACGGAAATGAAGCACCTATTGCTTTCTTTTCACGAACTTTATCGAAGACTGAAAGAAACTACAGCCAACTCAATAAAGAGGCTCTCGCTATTGTATCCGCTATTAAACATTTCCATGAATATGTATATGGCAGACCGTTTACCATAATAACCGATCACAAGCCATTGCTTGGCATTTTAGCGGGAGACAAACCAACTCTCCACATCTTATCACCCAGAATGACCTGTTGGTCAGAGTTTCTAGCCGCATACGATTATCAACTGCAACACCGCCCGGGGAAAGCCATTCCCCACGCTGACGCCTTGAGTCGTTCTCCGCTACCGGAAGCCATAGACGATCCAGCTCCAACTTTAACTGCACTCCAAATCGAAACTCTCCCTGCACCACCCCTGACTGCACGAGACATCGCCGCGGAAACAAAAAAGGATCCTGTATTCGCTCGAGTCCTCAGCTGGGTGGAACGAGGTTGGCCTGACAACGAACCCAACGAAACCTTCGCGCCTTTCAAACATCGACAGACGGAACTGTTTTACCAGAAGGGCTGCATCTTGTGGGGAGACAGAGTCGTCATTCCAAAAAAATTACAACACACCATTCTAAAACTGTTGCACGATGGTCATCCAGGCATCGTGCGAATGAAGGCATTGGCAAGAAGTTATGTGTGGTGGCCAGGTATCGATAAACAGATAGAAGCCTGGGTAGCCACATGCAACAAATGCCAGGAAATCCACGCTACCCCACCGAAGGCACCTCCAACTGAATGGGACGCACCTTGTGGTCCCTGGTCCCGCATCCACATTGACTTTGCGGGACCCACCAAGGGACACACTTTTCTCATAACTGTGGATGCCTATTCCAACTGGCTCGAAGTCCACAAAATGAAGAGCACCACCACAGAAGCCGTCGTTAAAAAATTAAATAGACTATTTGCTACGCACGGATTGCCTGACATTTTAGTCTCGGATAACGGTCCCCAATTCACTGCCCTAGCCTTTGAACAGTACCTAGCCGACCGGGGAATCCGCCATGCCTTAACTTCGCCGGCTCACCCTGCGGCCAATGGCAGGGCTGAGCGCATGGTCCAATTCATAAAAAAGACCCTGCACAAGATGGAACATGGAGACATTGACGACAAAGTAACCCAAATGCTTCTCCTCCAACACATCACCCCGCACAGCATCACAAACAGAACCCCGGCCGAACTTCTGATGGGCTGGAAACTTCGCTCACACCTCGATCACCTACACCCAACCTACACGCCAGAAAAACCTTGCGGTTCCAGCAGCAAGTGTCGTGCGTTCAAGGTAGGCGACTTAGTCTTCGCGAAAAACTTTGCGGGTGATCCATTGTGGGTCCCCGCTACTATAACTCAAATTACGGGCCCCAGATCTTACCGTCTACAAACTAGCGATGGGAAATTATGGAAGCGCCATATAGACCAACTTCGTTCCCGATTGGCACCTAAACCTATCTCAACCCCTGAATCGCAAACTGAGGGGGGAGGGAAATCGAGGGGGCCGAAATAGAAATAGCAGACAACCCACTAACTGACACCCAGCAGTCTTCACAGCCAACCATGGGATACTCACCTTCCGGAGGTGGACCGAGCCGGGTGATTGTTTCGCCACAAAGCAGCCCGGCCATAGAAGCCAGTCCAGGGAGCCCGGATGACAACAGAGAGGACAGCCCTGAGTCCCTGAGCGGAATAGTGGAACCGTTTTCGCCACCCGGTTCTACAAACAGCCCACCGGAGCCAGCGCCAGAGCAGAAACCGGTGGAACAGCGAAAATCGAATAGACAGGTGAAACGGCCTGCCTACTTATGAGAATATGTCACCCCACCCCTCAGATGGAACCTAGGGGGGAGGGGTGTTACGAACTAAATAAACTCATTCGTCAAAAACTATACTAGCTTACTTCAGCAGCAGGCTTGTAAGCCTGCACTTCTGATTGGCCCGCGGATAAGCGAATCGTGATTGGCCGATTCTGGCTGATCTGATTGGCTGACAATGGGCCATCGCCGATTGGACGCTTTTAGAGCGGTTACTTCAAAGTCATTGGTTGTTGTGACAGCAGCTAGCTCTATAAAAGAGCTGCTGCTGCCCTTGTTGTTGCTCTGTTCTGAAGTCACTATTAAAGAGTTAAATTGAGTCACTATCGATGCCTCGTCTCCGTTATTGCGCCCACTCCTCCAGATCCAACAGAAAGAGATTTAGAGAAAAGGCATGTTATTCATCAAGAGATGATTTATTCAACTGAAAGCAAGAAATAACCTTCCATTTAAATTTCCTAATTTAAAAATGTTTTTTGGGAAAAAAACATCCACTCATTAAAAATCCCTTTATCTGAAAGATCCTTGGTCATGTGGGAATCCCTGAACCTGCAGTCATGTTTTTTTAGGCAGAGGAGATTTTTTGCACTCAGTAATATGAATAAGGAAAATCATTTTTTTTGCAGGAGGCGGGGGAAGCATGAAGTAAATTCACTTTGTGAGGAATGGATGGTGGAGAAATGCTTTCTGTATGTCAAAAATGTCTTGCTTCCTAGGGTTGTAGTGAGAGGGTTAATAGATGTGGCAGTGACAGCAGCAAGGCTTGTTAAATCAAATGCCTGAAATCCTAGAATGAAGACTTGGAAGATGACAAGGGTAGCACTAATAGGAAAACTATTCTAGTTACAGCAGGAGTAGATCTTCATACCTCATCACCTTTCTCTCCCTGAAGACCAGGAAATCCACGTTCCCCTTTGCTCCCCTTGGGACAAAGAAAATATACATGACCTGGTTTATAAAACACATTTATTAAAAGGAAACAGTTTCAAGTAATGGATGCTAAAATAGCACAGCAGAGATTGTAACATACTCCTTGTTCCACAACTCTAACAACTGCACCATCAATGATAGCTTAAATGCATATAAACATTTACATTTTGTAATCCAATAAACACTTGGAGTTGAATCCTACTAAATTCAAGAGAACTGTTTAATTTTCATCGAACTGCAGCATTGACAGAGTAAGAGAGATCACTCTGTATATATGAATCAGCTGTTAAAAATGTTCAAGATAATTTTGTACAGGAATTCTCCTTGGTACTTCATTGTTCCTGCGTTTTCTGTAAAGTGCAACATTAAGTAGAAAGTAATTTTTTTAAAAAAATCATTTGTCCATGTTAAATCAAGGAACCAGACTGAGGAGTCTAATCAAATGAGTCCAACAATAAACTAGTAGGACTACCACTATTGCAACTCAGAGGACTCGTGTAGGTCAGACATTGTTATTTTGAAATCAGGTCAAAGTGTAAAATCTGTGAACTTGAAAAGTCTATTGCCTTGCCCAGATTCCTTTTCTTATTATGTTTCCTTCATAAATTCTGCTCCTGTGCAGCCATCTCTTTAATTAAAAGCTTCTATGCCATTTCCAGAAGAGAGGACCAATTAGGACTAGTCACTTATTCTGAGGGGGACGTGCAGGAATGTGGGATGCACATGATCTTTTAATCTGCAAAAATGTTGATTATTTCTGGTAGTGATAACAATATATTTACAACTTCAAAAAGCAACAACCTTGCATGTATAATTAAATAAAATCCACAAATTATCAAACTTCATTTTAACAAGCTCACATGAGGAACTCACCTTTGACCCTTCTCTTCCTGGGATTCCTGGGGGACCTCTTGGACCAGGATCTCCCTTAATGGCACAAAGACAATGGTAAAGGTTTTTTTAAAAAAACAAAACAAAAACGTAGCTTTGGAGAATGTATTCGCACAGGACATAATACTAGATATATCTTCCTGACTTCAAGATCTTGCCTATGATAAGTCTGCAATATTGCATTTTCTCTTCTGAGAAAAACATTCTGATCAAAATATCAAAAGCCTTGATGATTATTTTTCTAAGATAGATCTTGTGAAGCAGAGTGTTGCCTTATTTTGGATTTTTGTTTTAGAAGTGATAAATATAAGAATAGCATTAAATGTCAAACTTAAGAAGAGGGCCTTCATTACTCAGGGAACTTCTGTAAAAAATTGCTAAAACAAAACTTTAGATAACAAGACTTTGAAAATGCATGGATGTTATATGTGCAGAAAAAATAGTCATTTTATATTTCTATAAAAGAAATATAATGTTTCAGTTTGGTGTAGTGGTTAAGACATCAGGCTAGAAACTGAAAGAAAGTGAGACACAAAGACAGTTAGGTGACCTTGGGCCAGTCACTTTCTCTCAGCCCTAGGAAGGAGGCAACTGCAAAGTATTTCTGAAAAACCTTGCCAAGAAAACTGTAGGGTCATTGACAATTTATTTATTTATTTATTTTTATTTATTTGATTTGCCAATTGTTTACAAGATAATAAGTATAAG